CTAGTTTCGTCTCAGCCTTCCTCGACTCAAGTACGGATCCTCTGCTTTCAGTAGTACGGGCCCATACTACCTTCCACATTTATCCGTACTTCCCTCAAGAACTGCGTCGACTCCACCAAGTCCCTTCTATTGCTACTGATCTCTGCTACTCTCATCATAGGCTTGCCCTAGGGTACCTCTAACTCCACCCAAACCAGTCCTCAGTTGCTGAAGGCCTCTTTGCAACGCCAATTAGACACCATATGGATACAATCACATGCCACGAGGTTCAGATAATCCTTCGAGTAAGGGACTCATCCCTACAACGGTTAGGACTCAGACAAGAGCTACGCAATAGGGTCAAATCCAACACTCTGAGATTATTCAACCCTGATTGCATGTGACCTAACGTACCGACCTAATAGCTAACTCCCATCACTCCGAGTCCCGCAAAGCACAAAGCAAGTAGCATTCAGACAAAAATGAAAAAAGCTCGAGCAATTCTATCCACAAAACAAGAATCTGTACTAGCATGCGATATAAGCTCATATAACCAGGCATAACCTAAACAGGCTATTCTATCTTTGTCTAATCAACACTATCATGTAGCTCAAGAGCACATATAACAGGCACATAAGGCATCCTTCCTAGATCCTTAGTTCTAATCTAGCATGATGTTCTACTGAACTGATAATCATAACATAAACTTGTATGGGTACTTTGGGGAAAACTTACTTGAGCTCGGCCGGTCGCGCACATCACACACCTTGTTCTTTCTTAAAACTCTTTAACTTAGATTTTAGAAAACCGTTTCCTTTGTAAAAATCTTTTAATCCCTCGGTTTGAGTCCAGACACCCCCGAGGGTGTGTCCGAATCCCTCAAACCAAGGCACTGATACCAACTTGTAACATCCCAAATTCCGAGTCCAAAAATTTCAATTTTGATATACCGATTTAGAAAACATTTATCATAAAAAAACATCACCATGTCATATCATTTCATAAAACCATAATCTCATGTCTGAAAATCATATCATAAAAGTAGTAACAATGTCAGAGTACAATCCCGAGAAATCTCATAAGGCGGAATCCAATGTGTGTATGATGTGCAGCTACCGCGCCGGCTCCTTCCCCTTCGCTGAAGAGGTACCTGAAACAAAACTGAAAACTGTAAGCCCGAAGCTTAGTGAGTTCCCCCATCGTACCACATACCATACAATCACATAACATACATATACTGTCAGGCATATATGGGTGCCCGACCTACCCCTTCGGTCCTCTCGACCGGATACTGACTAGCATACCTGGGTGCTGGCCTCCCCTTCGGTCCTCTCGACCGGATACTGCCTAGCATACCTGGGTGCTGGCCTCCCCTTCGATCCTCTCGATTTGATACTACCTAGCATACCTGGGTGCTGGCCTCCCCTTCGGTCCTCTCGACCGGATACTGGGGACTATTTCACCGCTCTACTACTACCACATAACATGTAACACATAATCATATTCTATCTAGCATGACTGGGTATGACTACCCCCTTCGGCCCTATCGACCGAAAATCTTGGGGACTATCTCCCCTACTGCTACTAGCATATAACATCATATCATACTGGCACATAACATATCAGGTAGTAGCAAAAATAGATGAATATCACAAAGACAATCATCTAACATACGACTCCTACTGGTGGGCTGACATTGGTGCCTTAGACCCACTTCTACTGGAAGCTAACTCACCTCGTAAGGCTGACTGCTGAAAAGTTGATTGGCAGATGTATGACTGCTGCTCCGGTGATCCTCCGGCTATAAATCCATAAAACACTTCATCAGACACTGATAACTACTCTTAGGGTAAAATGACTATTTTACCCCTGACCAAGTCAAAGTTAAAGTCAACTTCCAGTTAACTCGACTCGCCGAGTTGGGCCGCCAACTCGTCGAGTCCCTATCCCTTCATCAGTCCTTCTCCACGCCTCTACTCGTCGAGTTTGGCAACGACTCGACGAGTTCTCCCTCTAGAACAACCCCGAATGAACCTTCATCCGACTCGTCGAGTCGTATGAACAACTCGTCGAGTTCATCTCCATCCTATGAACAAGTCCTGCCCTTGACTCGCCGAGTTGTATGAACAACTCGTCGAGTTCATCTTCGAACGTTGGGAGATTGCCTTGGACTCGCCGAGTCTGTTCACACACTCATCGAGTCCTATGATTCCCAGGTCTATGGCTAAGTCCAATGCGTTCGGTCATTCCCCCGGACCCCTCTAAGACCACTCTAACACTCACTGGGTTCCTTCGAACCATAACAGAAAACGGAAGTCAAGCCATGGACTCGCCGAGTCCCAAGAACGACTCGCCGAGTCGAGAATAACCTAGTCTTATTTCTTGATTTCTGATGTACAACACTTGACCAAAAGATAGATCTAGGCTTCTAGGATCGATCTAGCACGTAAAGTTACAAACTTTACATGCATGCATGGGACTATGAGCTCAAATGGCCCTAAATGAGACTCTTAAGATGCATGGGGCTCTCTAAGGCTCCAAAATCAGTCCCTTTCTGCCTTGTAACCCCTTAAAGACCTTGGATCTGAAGTCTTAGCCCCTAACCATGCTTGCACTCATGATTGGTCACCAAGAATGGCTCCTAAAAGCCCTAAATCACCCCAAAAGGGATCTAAAACATGAAAGAGCAAGGTATCAGCTTTATACCTTTAAGGAACTGCAGAGGGTGTACAAACTCGAACTCCTCTGGCCTCCTCTTGATTCCTCAAGCCTTTCTCTTCCTTCTTGTGTTCCAAAATCTCCAAAAACCACCACAAAGGCCTTAGATCTTTACACAAACGATTAGGGTTTGATATGGAGAGTTCTTGAGAGCAATAGGGACGAAGGGAGGCTGAATGAGATGCTTAAATAGGGTGCAATCCCTTAAATTAGAGCTTTGTCCAATCAGGGCCTACTCGTCGAGTCTGTCTGCCGACTCGTCGAGTAGGTCATTAAACTCCCGGGTCCAGTTCGCTCCTACTCGTCGAGTTGGCCATCAACTCGCCGAGTTCTAGGCCAAAAATGAATAATGCTTGAATGAAATTCATACCAGGAACTGGGTGCTACAAACGCCTCCAACTCATCTCCGTCTCTGGCATTCTCAACATTCTGTTCTCGACATACATTTTTTTCTTTTGGTTTTGAACAAAAAGAAAACAAGAGCAGCTAAAGAATGAAATTAACCTAGAAGAAATGATTTTTAACCTAGTTAACCGTACAGGCACTCTCATCTTTTCTTTCTTAATTTACGTGTGTGTGTGTGTGTATATATATATATATACACTAGTGGTGTACCCGCGCAAAGCGGCAGCGACAAATAGTTTCCGGTCGGTAATTAACTCATTTCGTTGAATAGTTTCCTTGAGGCAAAACAGTGAATAAAAAATTAATAATGAATCTTGTACATCAAATTGTCACGTATGAAAGAACCATTAAGCATAACAAATAAAAAACAATAAACAGACGATCTATCCTCCTAACTACTATGCCATGAAACAATAGGTTCACGTGCATCAAATCAATCACTCATATAGGTTTTGCATATCATCCTTAAATTTGGCCTTCAATTGTTCCCTCTTTAACTTGAGTGCGGCTGTCACTAATGCAAATTCAGGTGTTTTGATCTGGCAGCAACTTTTCTTTGCAGGAAGCTCAAACTTGTCTAACTTTTCCTCTTTTCCTACCTACAAAACACAATTCAGAAGAAAAATGTGGGAGGATGTGATGAACAAAGACATAAAAACCCTCATTGATATATAAGTTAAAACAAACTTTGGAGAGAGATTGGTAGACCTCAGAGACAACCTCTTTTTAGCACAAAGCTCCGCATAATCGTTGTAACTAATGCCACCACTTTTGGCCTATTGATCAAGAACCTGGTGTGCAGGGACTACTAATGATACTCAATAACTGGTCTGTACGATTAGCTAGGGTTAAATTTTTTTCTTCTAGGTTAGTTTCATTCCTTAGCTGCTCTCGCTTTCTTTCTGTTCGAAACCAAAAGAAAAGAAATGTATCTCGAGAACTGAATGCGGAGAATGCCGGAGACAAAGATGAGTTGGAGGCGCAGAATGTTGAGAATGTCGACGACGGGGATGAGCCGTTGCGAGCCTAGCATTATAGGTGTCTGGTGTAAGAATGATATGAAAGTGACATTACATGCTAGTAAGTTGTACTGTTTCATTCTTACGACACATACACACTCATAAAAGACATGAATTTTGTTCCAAGTGGAAGTGGAATGTCAACTCTAATAAGTTTATGTAAAGATTATTTGATTGTGATGCCTGCATATAGATGGTTGTAAACTTCAAACAATTTCGTAGAAGAAAATGCTACAAATGAGGAGATTGAAGTGCCTAACATTGTGATTACGCATGCTTTAGACTTCATCAAGAAGTTGCCTCGAGCAAGTAAAATGTCCAAGTTAATTTCATTATAATCATTTTACTAAAAGCAGTAACATCATCTATTAATTATTAATGGTGTTTTTGTCAGAGGCTTACAATGGTAGACGAAAATGGGAGTCGATTATTGGTTAGGAAGAAAAAAAAAAGAATAGCAACAAGGGCTTTCTGACAGCTTCTTCCCTTCCAATTAGAAACCTCCTGCTTCGGACTTGTAGTTTAATTTTTTTAATTTTTTTTAATTATTGTTTTAATCAAACTATGTGAAAAGTATTGTTTACTCAATCCAGACTAAGGTTGTTAGTTTATAACAATTAAATGATACTCAAGTTTTGTGTAATATTAAATAAATATATTTGAACATAAATATCTAGTCAAACTATTACACGTGGAATGTTTTTCCTTTTTATCTATTCATCTTCACCAAACATTATATGGTTACTGATTAAGAAATACATATACTGCTTATATCATATGCAACAAAACCACTGCCTTGAAGATGTATCAATCATCTAATAAAAATGTTGCCCTTTTGTAAATTAATTTAACATACAATTTATAATAACTAAACTAATCTCACAACCATATCGAATCCCTCAAACAATCTTGAGGTTTTGGTTTGATCTGCATGGGTTTACCAAGCTTAGATTTATCTTCTATTTTTGCAATATGGCGAGCCTTGTTAGAAAAAGAAACAGGAAACCCTTTAGCATCATCCCATAATTCCAAAATTACCCCTGACCACACACAAAGCTCTTGTTGATAAAAAGTTGCAAATAGGCCAGATGCAACCCTGATCACCTTCAGGTAATTGGACGGTGCCAATAACATCTTTTTCTTCTATATGCAAACTACAATCATAGAAAACCGGACCATGCCGAACCTGTCAAAAAAACGTGTAAATGCATATTAAGTCTGTTATTAAGTGAAAAATTGAAGTCATGTAATGTTTACATTTACCTTGCATCTTAAGTGGTTTAAGTTGTGAGGAGGATATCCGTTGATCCATCTAAAGGATCCAACACGAAATGATCGCCTTCTTTTATCAACAGAGTAATAATTTCTTGATACAAAAACCATATTATTTTTTTACATCTTTCTCAACAACATACCTGCATGGAAACATGACATGTATTTTTTTATAAATAAATAAATCTTTAAATATTTTTACATAATAATAAAAATAATAATAATAATAAAAGGTTTACAATGGTCCTCCTGCAAGACCCAAACCTTGGCGTTGACCAATTGTGTAAAACCAGAAGCCCTGTGGACGCCTAAAAAATCAGCTGTTTCAGCATCTAATAATAAAAACTTTCTTTTTCACCAATATGTCTTCCAACAAATTTGCTGAACCAAATCAGTATAATAATTACATAAATTTCTACTTTATATATATATATATATATATATATATATATATATATATATATATCATCTCCAAAGTTTAGATTTTTGTTAACAAACATAACATAAACATACCTTCTCAAGAAAGCATATTCCCTGTGAATCCCTTCTTTCTTGGTTAGGCAAATCAAATTTTCAGGCAACCTTCGGACTTCTTCCTGATAATTTGATTGGTTTAAATAGTAAATTCATGAATTATGCTTATGTTTACCTTGCATCTTAAATGGTTTAAGTTGTGAGGAGGAGATCCGCTGATCCATCTAAAGGATCCAACAAGAAATGATCGTCTTCTTTTATCAACCGAATAATAATTTCTTGATACAAAAACCACATTATTTTTTACATCTTTCTCAACAACATACCTGCATGGAAACATAACATGTATTTTTTTTTATAAATAAATAAATCTTTAAAGATTTTTATATAATAATAATCATAATAATAAAAGGTTTACCATGGTCCTCCTGCAAGACCCAAACCTTGGCGTTGACCAATTGTGTAAAACCAGAAGCCTCTGTGGACTCCTAAAAAATCACCTGTTTCAGCTTCTAATAGTATACCTTCTTTTTCACCAATATGTCTTCCAACAAATTCACTGAACCTAATCTGTATAATAATTACTTAAATTTCCTGATAATTTGATAGGTTTATATATATATATATAATTACTTAAATTTCCTGATAATTTGATAGGTTTATATATATATATATATATATATATATATATATATATATATATATATATATATCATCCTCAAAATTGGGATTTTTGTTAACAAACATAACATAAACATACCTTCCCAAGAAAGCATATTCCCTGTGAATCCCTTCTTTCTTGGTTAGGCAAATCAAATTTTCGGGCAAGTCTTCGGACTTCATCCTGATAATTTGATAGGTTTAAATAGTAAATTCATAAATTGTGTTTTGTTTTTCATAAAGCAAACTTACTTACTTTTGGAATACATCCAAGAGGAAGCACTAGTCTTTTAAGATGAGCTTGTGAGAGATATGATAGAAAGTAGGTCTGATCCTTCACTAGAAATTCTAACATGTATCCCTCACTGATAGGCATCCGGAAGTTGGTAATGAAAATAAGTAGAGCATATCTTTACCATATCCTTTAACAGCTGAAGAAATGAAAGCTTATTGGTTTCATCTGTAAGGGGGTGAATAACTTTTGCATAATGTCCAGAAGCAACAAACTCAAAATCCATGTTACTGATGGCATCCATGAACGCACCTACAGATATAAAATAAAAATGAAATAAATGACAAATGAGAACAATAAAAGATGAAAGAAAGCAATATGATTACGCACCAAATTTGAATCTTGTATTGCAAAGAACATCAGGGTTAGGTGTACACTCTCATTTATACTCATAAATAAGGTAAGATACCCGCAACATTGTTACGTGTAAGCAATAAGTTACATTGATGTCACACCCCCGAACCTTCAGAAAAACAACGGCGGAAATGTCCGGGGGCGGCGACGTTATTCGTAGTATCACAACAATCGTATCATAGCAATCAAAGTAAACACAACCATTACATTACAATGTGAATATTTACAACTGTTTGAGAACATAGTTTGTACAAAACATTATATTACAAAAGATAAAGACGAGACTCCAAAAATGCTCCGTCTTCTCCAAAAGCTGGTATGGTACCTGTCTATCGTTGCCCTGAGAATACAAGCGGTTTTGAAAACGTATCAGCATAAAGCTGGTGAGTTCATAAGCATGTTTTTGTATTGAAAACTAGTCACTGAGTTTGTATAAATAGTTTCTTTCCATTATAAGTAAATATCGTTTGTATCGAAAACCGTTGTTACCGAGTTCTGGAATATGTTTACATGCTTACCAAGAAAATCCAATATTTTCTAACATGTTTGTTGGTTTATGTATGAAAAGTACGTTCTGTTCGAAAACCCTGGCTACCACCAGTATGTAATGTATGATCGTTCGGAAACCGTGGTTACCACCAGTATGTATAGTAGTTTTATTACTTAAAATAAAACTATTGAAGAAGGAAATCCCGTAAACAATGATTAGTTTATACTTATTGTGAGTCGTATAACCAAAATTTGTCACCCCAGGCGTGCCCGCCTAACTGTAGCTAACAGTTCAGGTGTGGGATTGTCAGTCCCGAATAGATCTATTCACAAATTTCACGCTCTCCCTCCAGGAGACTCTGGTTATACTTAAGGTGAGGATTAATTGGTACCCCGAGGGGCAAAACGAAGATAGTCTCACAATCCTGTATTAACTAGTTTACGTGTTTGTTCGGTTGTTCTCGAGTTCGAAATCGTTTGTAACGGTGTAGAGTATAAATAATTATACATAAAATAATTATTTAGCATGATACTCTAGTTTTGTATTCGTAGTAATGGATAAACTAAATCTGACATAGTTTATATGTTTGACTTTGCATGAAGTTTGAATCTATAAGACTGGTAATGAAATCCCAAACTATACCTACTATAGTTTGAATGGTTTGTTACGTTCGCATAAGGTTTTGAAACTATGCAATTATAAATTGAAAACACCCCTTATGCTCCGCATAATACAAAAGGGATAATTGTATCTAAACGTTTGATAGAAAATCGTTGTAATTGCATCAGTTTTTAAGTTATGAAAACCTTTATGTTTAGCTTGTATTCCCCCCCCCCTAAAAACATGAAAAACTCGGAAAATTGTAGGGGTATGAACTCACAGTTTAACGTAGGATTCGAGTGTTCAATTGGTTATGAGTGTCGAGTGTCAACCGATGTTTTGTACGCGTGTGGACCCTATTAACATATATTGCACATATATGTATTAGATTGGGTATCTCATGACAAATCATGATGGAAAACCACCCTAAAGACTTGGAATCACTAGAACTAAGTGTCCCATGTTCCATACTTAGTGATCTTTACAAGTTTAAGGCCAAATATGAGCATTAGAGTGGGTGTATGGCCATAAAAGTGGGTGTGCGGCCAGGGAGTGCAGCCAGACTTGTGTGTGCGGCTGCACACAGGAGTGTGCGGCCGTACAGGGGGTGTGTGCGGCCGTATACAGGAGTGTGCGGTCGTACACTCCTCATTTTGTGCCCGAAATGTCGATTTTTGAGGTGTTTCAAGTTCCAAACTAAGTCTTAATTCGATTATAGAGGCCATACTCTCACTTTGGAGGGTATTTGAGTGTATGCGGTCACCTTATGAAGGTGTGCGGCCGCACTCCTTCAATGGATGAAGAACACGAAGAACACTATGAGTTTTAGGCTTAGATTTAGGTCTCTTACCACTATAACAAGCTGAATGGTGAAGTAGTTCACGTTTTTGAGACCTTAAGAGTGTTCTTGGATGAAGTTTTTAGAGAGAGAAGTAGAGAGAGAGTAGTGTGCAACCAAAGAAGAAAAAGTGACTGAAAGGGGGTTCTCTACGATATATAGGGTCGAACAGAACGTACTCGGGTGTGCGGCCGCACACACCTTCCTTGGTGTGATTGGCTCGATTTTGTGATGCTACACACTTTCTAACCCTTCTTAAGACTCATATATGTGTTATACTAAGCCTAAAGCACTCATATGGACCCAAAATTTCGCTAAGAGATGATAAGTTTGAGTGTAATATTGATATACAGATTAATTGTACAGGATTAAAAGTTTCGAGTTGTCACAATTGATGATGATGAATGTGAGAAAATGCATCAAGAGGGGTGTCACTAACCACTTTGTCCTAATATTCATCTGTCAGATGTACAACGTCCAGTGCTACATCAACATGGAAAAAAAATGTTGATATATTTCCTTCAATACAAATCAAACTTGGAAGAAACAAAGAAAAAGATCACATAATCAGGGATTTGAGTGATAGAATCGAGAAGTTAATCTGTTAAACCAAAGCAGGGAAATGTTTTTGAGCCTTCAAATCCAGTTAAGCACTAACAGAAATCTGAAGATAAAATGAGATGGATAATATGAAGGTGAAGAAAGCAACCTGATTGCAAACAGCTTTTGCGTACTTCAAATCCTCTTCCCATGGACATTCAGACCAAAAGTTCTGGAAATCTTCCTACGAACGAATTTAGTAACAGAACTAGCTAAGGAATTATAGGTTTCAAACTTCAAAATGCTCAAAGACAAAGAGAAAGGTAAAAGTAAAACAAGAAACCAATAAGAGAGAAGATTTCTATTCATTTTAATCATATCATCCAGCACAAAAATCGATGTTAAACTCTTGAATTGGAGCAGATGTATCATCCGATAAGAGATGAGAAATTTGCAAAAACTTACAATTTGAATTTTTAGATAACCAACAAAATTAAGTTTATATTCGAAACCAGACATTGTGGGCATAAACCTGAATAATTTGATTCGTATATGCATTGTAAGGTAGAAAGCGGTGCAGGAGTGTCCGACTGCGTGGAGGAGGCGAAATGCGACACTGCTATCAACGCCACCAATGAGAAGAACCGTAATTTTGATAGGGCGCTTGCTATTGGTCATTGAGCAAGACAAGTAACTGCTGTCCAAATCAGAAGTCGTGTCGTTAGAAATTTTGGGAACTGCTGTAGATGATAGAGAACGAGGTGTGTTGATGGATAAGATTGTTCTATCAGCTCGAGGGTAGCTTTGTCGATTTATTAACCGCTGGGGTTTGTGAAGCGAGTGTGAGACGAAAGCCTTGAGGGGTAAAGAGTACAGCTTCGTGGTGGGGTGAAACAGAGCGGCCATTGTTGTTCTGAGCATCATTTCTTCGAGCTTTTGCGCCGTGTTAATGACCCTGTGCGTGAAAATAATAATTTAGAATGAACTTTTTACACTTTCACCCCTATACTTTAAATTTCCTGTCACTTTTATATCAAGACATAAAAAGTTAAACACTACTACTAGCCCAATAGAAAGCTCAGAATAATCATTGAAATATAAGTTAAACACCTCTTTAATTTGCAAAAACAGTACAACTTACTAGCATGTAATTTCATTTTCATATCATTCTTACACCAGACACCTATAATGCTAGGCTCGCAACGGCTCATCCCCATCGTCGGCATTATTCGCCCCCAACTCATCTCTGTCTCCGGCATTCTCAACATTCTGTTCTCGACATACATTTTTTTTCTTTTGGTTTCGAACAAAAAGAAAAAAAAGAGCAGCTAGAGAATGTAATTAACCGAGAATAAAAAGATTTTAAACCCTAGCTAACCGTACACACATTCTCTCATCTTTTCTATCTTAATTAACGTGTGTGTGTGTGTATACACACACACACACACTAGTGGTGTACCCGCGCAAAGCGGCGGCGACAAATAGTTTTCGGGCGGTAATTAACTGATTTCGTTGAATGGTTTCCTTGTCGCAAAACAGTAAATAAAAATTTAATAATGAATCTTGTACATCAAATTGTCACGAATGAAATAACCGTTAACCATAACAAATAAAAAATAGTAGTAAACAGACGATCTATCCTCCGAACTACTATGCCATGAAACAAAAGGTTCACATGCATCAAATCAATCACTCGTATAGCTTTTGCTAATCATCCTTAAATTTGGCCTTCACTCATCTTTAACCATTATTAATTTTTGGTTTCCATATTAAATGTTTCAACAAAATTCTTATGTTTCCGACTAGAAATTTTCATGCTTAAGCAAGTTGTAATGTTTTTTTTACAACAATGAAGCAAAGTTTAAGAAGGTTATAAATTCTTATGAAGCTATAAATTCAGAAAGAAATAATATCAAGTAAAGAAAAAGAAGCTTTGTGAAGAATGGAAACTCGGTTTGAAGACTAGTGAAAAATGCAAAGTAAGGCAACAATATTCGTTCAGAATGGATTTTCATTTTTTCTATATGAATGATTAGTAACTATATTCTATCATAATGTATTAGTATTTTACTTAGATTTCAATGTTTTGATTTGATTTTTAATCATTCTCAGTTTTATTCTTAAAGAATAAATGTAATTGTTAACCATTATTACTTATATTCTTTTAGAATGAATGTTCATAATTGTTTTGTTAAGAATGAATATAATTACGGATTTTAAGATATAAAAATTCTTTTCATATGAAATTTGTATTCATTAAAAATTATTAATCTTGATAATACATGTTTATAATATTTTGTCAGAATTTAATATTTTTTTTCAAGATAATCATAAACATATTCCTTTAGAATGTACAAATTAATATATTTATTATCGAAAAAATCAGATTTTTAACGTTTAGAGAATTAATTATTCCTTAAAATCTTGTACATCAAATTGTCACGTATGAAAGAACTATTAACCATAACAAATAAAAAACAGTAATAAGACGATCTATCCTCCTAACTACTATGCCATGAAACAAAAGGTTCACGCGCATCAAATCAATCACTCGTATAGCTTTTATATATCATCCTTAAATTTGGCCTTTAATTGTTCCCTCTTTAACTTGAGTGCAGTTGTCACTAATCCAGATTCAGGTGTCCATGGATCTGGCAGCAACTTTATCTTTGCAGGAAGCTCAAACATGTCTAACTTTGCCTCTTTTCCTAACTACAAAACACAATTCATAAGAAAAAGGTGGGAGGATGTGATGAACAAAGACATAAACACCCTCATTGAAATATAAATTAAAACCAATTTGGAGAGAGATTGGTGGACCTCGGAGACAGCCTCTTTTTTAGCACAAAGCTCAACATAATCATTGTAACTAATGCCACCACTTTTGGCCCATTGCTCAAGAACCTGGTGTGCAGAGACTTCTAATGATACATAATAACTGGTCTGTACGGTTAGATAGGTTAAAAATAGTTTCTTCTAGGTTAATTTCATTCTTTAGCTGCTCTTGTTTTCTTTCTGTTCGAAACCACGGGAAAAAAATGCATGTCGAGAACAGAATGCTACGAATGTCGGAGACGGAGATGAGTTGGAGGTGCAGAATGCCGAGAATGCCGAATAGATCTTCTCCCATCGTCGGTATTGGGTTAAACACAATAATTTTCGATTAATGGTGTTTTTGTCAACAAAAACACAATCTCTCTCCAAAGTTGGTCCCATGACCTGCTGAGGAACAGATCATCACGTAAAACTAATGTCGTCATTAATTGGTGTTTTTGTTAAAAAAAAATTCCAACTTTAGTCCTTTTTGATCTGTACTAAATAAACACAATAACTGGTGTGTACGGTTAGCTAGGGTTAAAAATCTTTTCTTCTAGGTTAATTTCATTTTTGAGCTGCTCTTGTTTTCTTTCTGTTCGAAACCAAAAGAAAAAAAAATGTATGGCGAGAACAGAATGCTGAGAATGTCGGAGACAGAGATGAGTTGGAGGCGAACTTAAGTTAAAGAGGGAACAATTGAAGGCCAAATTTAAAGATGATTTGCAAAATCTATATGAGTGATTGATTTGATGCACGTGAACCTTTTGTTTCATGGAATAGTAGTTAGGAGGATAGATCGTCTGTTTACTGTTTTTTATTTGTTATGGTTAATGGTTCTTTCATACGTGACAATTTGATGTACAAGATTCATTATTAAATTTTTATTCATTTTTTTGCCACAATGAAACTATTCGACAAAATTTGTTAATTACCGTCCGGAAACTATTTGTCGTCGCCGCTTTGCGCGGGTACACCACTAGAATGTATGTATATATATATATATATATATATATATATATATATATATATATATATATATATATATATATACACACACATACACACATACGTTAATTAAGAAGGAAGAGATGACAGAATGTATGTACGGTTAGCTTGAGTTAAAAATCTTTTCTTCTAGGTTAATTTCATTCTTTAGCTGCTCTTGTTTTCTTTCTGGTTCGATACTAAAAGAAAAAAATGTATGTCGAGAATAGAATATTGAGAATGTCAGAGACGGAGATGTGTTGGAGGCACAGAATGCCGAGAATGCCGATGACGGGGATGAGCCTTGCATTATAGGGGTCTGGTGTAAGAATGATATGAAAGTGACGTTACATGCTAGTAAGTTGTACTGTTTTATTCTTACCACACATACACACTCACAAAAGACATGAATTTTGTTCCAAGTGGAAGTGCAATGTCAACTGTAATAATTTTATGTAAAGATTATTTGATTGTGACGTCTGCATATAGATGGTTGTAAACTTCAAACAACTGCGTAGAAGAAAATGCTACAAATAAGGAGATTGAAGTGGCTAATATTGTGATTGCGCTTGCTTTGGACTTCATCAAGAAGTTGCCTCGAGCAAGTAAAATGTCCAAGTTAATTTCATTATAATCATTTTAGTAAAAGCAGTAACATCATCAATTCATCATTAATGGTGTTTTGGTCAGAGGCTTACAATGGTAGATGAAAATGGGAGTCGATTATTGGTTGGGCAGAAAAAAAATAGCAACAAGGGCTTTCTGATAGCTTCTTCCCTTCCAATTAAAAACCTCCTGCTTTGGACTTGTAGTTTAATTTTTTTAAATTTTTTTTCATTATTGCTTTAATCAAACTATGTAAAAAGTATTGTTTACTCAATCCAAAGTAAGATTGTTAGTTTTTAACAATTAATTGATACTCAAGTTTTCTGTAATATTAAATAAATATATTTGAACATAAACAGAAACAGGAAACCCCTTAGCATATCGAATCTGTCAAACAATCTTGAGTTTTTTGTTTGATCATGATGGGTTTACCAAGCTTAGATTTATCTTCCATTTTTGCAATATGACGAGCCTTGTCAGAAACAGAAACATGAAACCCCTTAGCATCATCCCATGATTCCAAAATTACCCCTGACCCCACACAAAGCTGCAAATTGATAAAAAGCTGCAAATTGGCCGGCTGCGAGACCCTGATCATCTTCAGGTAATTGGACAGTGCCAAAACCATCTTTTTCTTCTATATGCAAACTGCAATCATAGAAAAGCAGGCCATGCCGAACCTGTCAAAAACACGTGTAAATGTATATTAAGTCTGTTATTATGTGAAAAATTGAAGTCATGTAATGTTTATGTTTACCTCGCATCTTAAGTGGTTTAAGTTATGAGGAGGATATCCGCTGATCCATCTAAAGGATCCAACACGAAATGATCGCCTTCTTTTATCAACAGAATAATAGTTTCATGATACAAGAACCATATTATTTTTTTACATCTTTCTCAACAACATACCTGTATGGAAACATGACATGTATTTTTTTTATAAATAAATAAATGTTTAAATATTTTTACATAATAATAATAATAATAATAATAATAATAATAAAAGGTTTACCACGGTCCTCCTGCAAGACCCAAACCTTGGCGTTGACCAATTGTGTAAAACCAGAAGCCCCTGTGGACTACTAAAAATCACCTGTTTCAGCATCTAATAATATACCTTCTTTTCACCAATATGTCTTCCAACAAATTCACTGAACCAAATCAGTATAATAATTACATAAATTTCCACTTAGGCAAATCAAATTTCCGGGCAACCTTCGAACTTCTTCCTGATAATTTGACTGGTTTAAATAGTAAATTCGTGAATTCTGTTTTGTGTTTCATAAAGCAAACTTACTTACTTTTGGAGTACATCTACTATGAAGCACTAGTCTTTTAAGCTGAGCTTGTGAGAGATATGAAACAAAGTAGGTCTAATCCTTCACCAAAAATTCTAACATGTATCCCTCACTGACAGTTATCAGGAAGTTGGTAATGAAAATAAGTAGAGCATATCTTTACCATATCCGTTGACAGCTGAAGAAATGAAAGCTCATTGGTTTCATCTATAAGGGGGTGAATAACATTTGCATTATGTCCAGAAGCAACAAACTCAAAATCCATGTTACTGATGGCATCCATGAACGCACCTACAGATATAATATAAAAATGAAATTAATGACAAATGAGAACAATAAAAGATGAAAGCAAGCAATATGATTACGCACCAAATTTGATTCTTGTATTGCAAAGAACATCATGGTTAGGTGTACACCCACATTTATACTCATCAATAATGTAAGAAACCTGCAACATTGTAACTTGTATGCAATAAGTTCCATTGATGATGATGAATGTGAGAAAATGCATCAAGAGGGGTGTGACTAACCACTTTGTCCCAATATTCATTTGTCATATGTACAACTTCCAGTGCTACATCAACTTGAAAAAAAATGTTGATATATTTCCTTCAATACTAATCAAACTTGGAAGAAATAAAGAAAAAAATCACATAATCAGGGATTTGAGTGATAGAATCGAGAAGTTAATTTGTTAAAACAAAGCAGAGAAGTGTTTTTGAGCCTTCAAATCCAGTTAAGCACTAACGGAAATCTGAAGATAAAATAAGATGGATAATATGAAGGTGAAGAAAGCAACCTGATCGCAAACAGCTTTTGCGTACTTCAAATCCTCTTCCCATGGACATTCAGACCAAAAGTTCTGGAAATCTTCCTACGAACGAATTCATTACCAGAACTAGCTAAGGAATTATAGGTTTCAAACTTCAAAATGCTCAAAGACAAAGAGAAAGGTAAAAGTAAAATAAGAAACAATAAGAGAGGAGATTTTTATTCATTTCAACCATATCATCCAACACAAAAATCGATGTTAAACTCTTGAATTGGAGCAGATGTATCATCCGACAAGAGATGAGAAATTTGCAAAAACTTACAATTTGAATTTTTAGATAACCAACAAAATTAAGTTTATATTCGAAACCAGACATTGTGGGCATAAACCTGAATGATTTGATTCGTATATGCATTGTAATGTCAATCAAAAGAAAAGCATACGCACTTTGAACCAGATTTTAAGGTAGAAAGCGGTGCAGGAGTGTCAGACTGCGTGGAGGAGGCGAAGTGTGACACTGCTATCAACGCCACCACCGAGAAGAACCGTAATTTTGAGAGGGTGCTTGCTATTGGTCATTGAGCAAGATAAGTAACTGCTGTCCAAATCAGAAGTCGTGTCGTTAGAAATTTGGGGAACTGTTGTAGATGATAGAGAACGAGGTGTGTTGATGGATAAGATTGTTCTATCAGCTTGAGGGTAGCTTTGTCGATTTATTAACCGCTGGGGTTTGTGAAGCGAGTGTGAGACGAAAGCCTTGAGGGGTAAATAGTACAGCTTGGTGGTGGGGTGAAACAGAGCTGCCGTTGTTATTCTGAGCATCATTTCATCGAGCTTTTGTGCCGTGTTGATGACACTGTGCGTGAAAATAATAATTTAGAAAGAACCATTTACACTTTCACCCTTATACTTTAAATTTCCTGTCACTTTTATATCAAGACATAAAAAGTTAAACACTGCTACTAGCCCAATAGAAAGCTCAGCATAATTATTGAAATATAAGTTAAACACCTCTTTAATTTGCAAAAACAGTACAACTTACTAGCATGTAATGTCATTTTCATATCATTCTTACACCAGACACCTATAATGCTAGGCTCGCAACAGCTAATCCCCGTCATCGACATTTTGCACCTCCAACTCATCTCTGTCTCCGGCATTCTCAGCATTTTGTTCTCGACATACATTTTTTTTCTTTTGGTTTCGAACAGAAAGAAAAAAAGAGCAGCTAAAGAATGTAATTAACCTAGAATAAAAAGATTTTTAACCCTAGCTAACCGTACAAACATTCTCTCATCTTTTCTATCTTAATTAACGTGTGTGTGTGTGTATATATATATATATATATATATATATATATATATATATATATATATATATATATATATTTACACACACACTAGTAGTGTACCTATACAAAGCGGCGGCAACAAATAGTTTTCGGGCGGTAATTAACTCATTTTGTTAAATAGTTTCCTTGTGGCAAAACAGTGAATAAAAATTTAATAATGAATCTTGTACATCAAATTGTCACGAATGAAATAACCATTAACCATAATAAATAAAAACCAATAGTAAATAGACGATCTATCCTCTTAACTACTATGCCATAAAGCAAATGGTTCACATGCATCAAATCAATCACTTGTATAGATTTTGCTAATCATCCTTAAATTTGGCCTTCACTCATGCTTAACCATTATTAATTTTTGGTTTGCATATTAAATGTTTCAACAAAATTCTTATGTTTCCGACTAGAAATTTTCATGCTTAAGCAAGTTGTAATGTTTTTTTTACAACAATGAAGCAAAGTTTAAGAAGGTTATAAATTCTTATGAAGCTATAAATTCAGAAAGAAATAATATCAAGTAAAGAAAAAGAAGCTTTGTGAAGAATGGAAACTCGGTTTGAAGACTAGTGAAAAATGCAAAGTAAGGCAACAATATTCGTTCAGAATGGATTTTCATTTTTTCTATATGAATGATTAGTAACTATATTCTATCATAATGTATTAGTATTTTACTTAGATTTCAATGTTTTGATTTGATTTTTAATCATTCTCAGTTTTATTCTTAAAGAATAAATGTAATTGTTAACCATTATTACTTATATTCTTTTAGAATGAATGTTCATAATTGTTTTGTTAAGAATGAATATAATTACGGATTTTAAGATATAAAAATTCTTTTCATAAGAAATTTGTATTCATTAAAAATTATTAATCTTGATAATACATGTTTATGATATTTTGTCAGAATTTAATATTTTTTTTTCAAGATAATCATAAACATATTCCTTTAGAATGTACAAATTAATATATTTATTATCGAAAAAATCAGATTTTTAACGTTTAGAGAATTAATTATTCCTTAAAATCTTGTACATCAAATTGTCACGTATGAAAGAACTATTAACCATAACAAATAAAAAACAGTAATAAGACGATTTATCCTCCTAACTACTATGCCATGAAACAAAAGGTTCACGCGCATCAAATCAATCACTCGTATAGCTTTTATATATCATCCTTAAATTTGGCCTTTAATTGCTCCCTCTTTAACTTGAGTGCAGTTGTCACTAATCCAGATTCAGGTGTCCATGGATCTGGCAGCAACTTTATCTTTGCAGGAAGCTCAAGCATGTCTAACTTTGCCTCTTTTCCTAACTACAAAACACAATTCATAAGAAAAAGGTGGGAGGATGTGATGAACAAAGACATAAACACCCTCATTGAAATATAAATTAAAACCAAATTTGGAGAGAGATTGGTGGACCTCGGATACAGCCTCTTTTTTAGCACAAAGCTCAACATAATCATTGTAACTAATGCCACCACTTTTGGCCCATTGCTCAAGAACCTGGTGTGCAGAGACTTCTAATGATACATAATAACTGGTCTGTACGGTTAGATAGGTTAAAAATAGTTTCTTCTAGGTTAATTTCATTCTTTAGCTGCTCTTGTTTTCTTTCTGTTCGAAACCACGGGAAAAAAAATGCATGTCGAGAACAGAATGCTACGAATGTCGGAGACGGAGATGAGTTGGAGGTGCAGAATGCCGAGAATGCCGAATAGATCTTCTCCCATCGTCGGTATTGGGTTAAACACAATAATTTTCGATTAATGGTGTTTTTGTCAACAAAAACACAATCTCTCTCCAAAGTTGGTCCCATGACCTGCTGAGGAACAGATCATCACGTAAAACTAATGTCGTCATTAATTGGTGTTTTTGTTAAAAAAAAATTCCAACTTTAGTCCTTTTTGATATGTACTAAATAAACACAATAACTGGTGTGTACGGTTAGCTAGGGTTAAAAATCTTTTCTTCTAGGATAATTTCATTTTTGAGCTGCTCTTGTTTTCTTTGTGTTCGAAACCAAAAGAAAAAAAAAGTATGTCGAGAACAGAATGCTGAGAATCCCGGAGACGGAGATGAGTTGGAGGCGCACTCAAGTTAAAGAGGGAACAATTGAAGGCCAAATTTAAAGATGATTTGCAAAAGCTATACGAGTGATTGATTTGATGCACGTGAACCTTTCGTTTCAGGGCATAGTAGTTAGGAGGATAGATCGTTTGTTTACTGTTTTTTATTTGTTATGGTTAATGGTTCTTTCATACGTGACAATTTGATGTACAAGATTCATTATTAAATTTTTATTCACTGTTTTGCCACAAGGAAACTAGTCGACGAAATGAGCTAATTACCGCCCGGAAACTATTTGTCGCCACCGGTTTGAGCGGGTACACCACTAGTATGTATGTATGTATATATATATATATATATATATATATATATATATATACATACACACACACACGTTAATTAAGAAAGAAGAGATGAGAGAATGTATGTACGGTTAGCTTGGGTTAAAAATCTTTTCTTCAAGGTTAATTTCGTTCTTTAGCTGCTCTTGTTTTCTTTCTGGTTCGATACCAAAAGAAAAAAATGTATGTCGAGAACAGAATGTTGAGAATGTCGGAGACGGAGATGAGTTGGAGGCGCAGAATGCCGAGAATGCCGATGACGGGGATGAGCCTTGCATTACAGGTGTCTGGTGTAAGAATGATATGAAAGTGACGTTACATGCTAGTAAGTTGTACTGTTTTATTCTTACCACACATATACACTTACAAAAGACATGAATTTTGTTCCAAGTGGAAGTGGAAAGTCAACTGTAATAAGTTTATGCAAAGATCATTTGATTGTGACGTCTGCATATAGATGGTTGTAAACTTTAAACAATTGAGTAGAAGAAAAATGCTACAAATAAGGAGATTGAAATGGCTAATATTGTGATTGCGCTTGCTTTGGACTTCATCAAGAAGATGCCTCGAGCAAGTAAAATGTCCAAGTTAATTTCATTATAATCATTTTAGTAAAAGCAGTAACATCATCAATTCATTATTATTGGTGTTTTGGTCAGAGGCTTACAATGGTAGATGAAAAGGGGAGTCGATTATTGGTTGGGCAGAAAAAAAAGGAACAGCAACAAGGGCTTTCTTATAGCTTCTTCCCTTCCTATTAAAAACCTCCTACTTTGAGTTGTAGTTTAATTTTTTTAAATTTTTTTTCATTATTGTTTTAATCTAACTATGTAAAAAGTATTGTTTACTCTATCCAAAGTAAGGTTGTTAGTTTTTAACAATTAATTGATACTCAAGTTTTCTATAATATTAAATAAATATATTTGAACATAAACATAAACAGGAAACCCCTTAGCATATCGAATCCCTCAAACAATCTTGATGTTTTGGTTTGATCTTGACGGGTTTACCAAGCTTAGATTTATCTTCCATTTTTGCAATATGACGAGCCTTGTCAGAAACAGAAACAGGAAACCCCTTAGCATCATCCCATGATTCCAAAATTACCCCTGACCCCACACAAAGCTCTTGTTGATAAAAAGCTGCAAATTGGCGAGCAGCGAGACCCTGATCATCTTCAGGTAATTGGACAGTGCCAATACCATCTTTTTCTTCTATATGCAAACTGCAATCATAGAAAAGCGGGCCATGTGGAACCTATCAAAAACACGTGTAAATGTATATTAAGTCTGTTATTAAGTGAAAAATTTAAGTCATGTAATGTTTATGTTTACCTTGCATCTTAAGTGGTTTAAGTTGTGAGGAGGAGATCCGCTGATCCATCTAAAGGATCCAACAAGAAATGATCGTCTTATTTTATCAACCGAATAATAATTTCTTGATACAAAAACCACATTATTTTTTACATCTTTCTCAACAACATACCTGCATGGAAACATAACATGTATTTTTTTATAAATAAATAAATCTTCAAATATTTTTATATAATAATAATAATAATAATAATAATAATAATAATAATAATAATAAAAGGTTTACCATGGTCCTCCTGGAAGACCCAAACCTTGGCGTTGACCAATTGTGTAAAACAAGAAGCCCCTGTGGACTCCTAAAAAATCATCTATTTCAGCTTCTAATAGTATACCTTCTTTTTCACCAATATGTCTTTCAACAAATTCACTATACCTAATCTGTAAAATAATTACATAAATTTCCATTTAATATATATATATATATATATTCTCCAAAGTTGGGATTTTTGTTAACAAACATAACATAAACATACCTTCCCAAGAAAGCATATTCCCTGTGAATCCCTTCTTTCTTGGTTAGGCAAATCAAATTTCCGGGCAAGCCTTCGGACTTCATCCTGATAATTTGATAGGTTTAAATAGTAAATTCATAAATTGTGTTTTGTTTATCATAAAGCAAACTTACTTACTTTTGGAATACATCCAAGAGGAAGCACTAGTCTTTTAAGTTGAGCTTGTGAGAGATATGAAAGAAAGTATGTTTGATCCTTCACCTAAAATTCTAACATGTATCCCTCAATGACAGGTGTTAGTAAGTTGGTAATGAAAATAAGTAGAGCATATCTTTACCATATCCTTTGATAGCTGAAGAAATGAAAGCTCATTGGTTTCATTTGTAAGGGGTTGAATAACTTTTGCGTAATGTGCAGTACAAGGTTGTAGAACTCGTTACTCGGCACCTGCTCGACCGACTACCCAGTAGCGAGTACTCGGGAGTACTCAGATTCGGTAATTCATGTAGAAATATTTTTAGGGACATTATATATGTCAAAATTTAAGTTAAAATCATAAGTTGATTTAAATATATAACAAAATTTTATACATGTGAATACACAAAAATTGAAAAACACATAATGGTCTCACTTCATGAATAACTACTGAAAATTTAAGATATATATGTAGTAATAATCACATGTATGTGTGTTAAATAATAGATCATTAAGTATATTATACATATTAATCGCCGAGTTGACCGTCTTTTACAACACTGCTCAGTTCGGTAAAGGGTCGATCGGGGAGTACTCGGGATTTTGCAACTCGCCTCGGTAAGGGGCCTAGTAGCAAGTACTCAGAGGAGTACTCGGTCAACTCGGCGAGTTTTACAACACTAGTCCAGAAGTAACAAACTCAAAATCCATGTTACTGATGGCATCCATGAACGCACCTACAGATATAAAATAAAAATGAAATTAATGACAAATGAGAACAATAAAAGATGAAAGCAAGCAATATGATTACGCACCAAATTTGATTCTTGTATTGCAAAGAACATCAGGGTTAGGTGTAGACCTGGCAATTTCAGACACGAAGACACGAATCTATGAGAGACACAACACGACACAAATACACGACACGAATACATCTTAAAAATTGAGATAAAGCTTATTTCTCGTCGTGTAATCGTATCGTGTCAAATTCGTGGCTGACACGTTTTCATGACACGAATACACGAATTGACAGGTCTAGTTAGGTGTACGCCCACATTAATACTCATCAATAAGGTAAGATACCTGCAACATTGTAACTTGTAAGCAATAAGTTTCATTGATGATGATGAATGTGAGAAAATGCATCAAGAGGGTATGACTAACCACTTTGTCCCAATATTCATCTGTCAGATGTACAACTTCCAGTGCAACAGCTACCTGAAAAAAAAATGTTGATATATATCCTTCAATACTAATCAAACTTGGAAGAAACAAAGAAAAAGATCACATAATTAGGGATTTGAGTGATAGAATCGAGAAGTTAATTTGTTAAAACAAAGCAGGGAAGTGTTTTTAGCCTTCAAATTCAGTTAAGAACTAACGGAAATCTGAAGATAAAATGAGATGGATAATATGAAGGTGAATCAAACAACCTGATTGCAAACAGCTTTTGTGTACTTCAAATCCTCTTCCCATGGATATTCTGACCAAAATTTCTCGAAATCTTCCTACGGACGAATTCATTACCAGAACTAGCTAAGGAATTATAGGTTTCAAGCTTCAAAAAGCTCAAAGACAAAGAGAAAGGTACAAGTAAAATAAGAAACCAATAAGAGAGGAGATTTTTGTTCATTTCAATCATATCATCCACCACAAAAATCGATGTTAAATTCATGAATTGGAGCAGATGTATCATATGACAAGAGATGAGCAAATTTGCAAAAACTTACAATTTGAATTTTAGATAACCAACAAAATTAAGTTTATATTCGAAACCAGACATTGTGGGCATAAACCTGAATGATTTTATTCGTATATGCAATGTAATGTCAATCAAAAGAAAAGCATACGCACTTGGAACCAGATTTTAAGGTAGAAAGCGGTGCAGGAATGTCCGGTTGCGTAGAGGAGGCGAAGTGCGACACTGCTATCAACGCCACCACTGAGAAGAACCGCAATTTTGAGAGGGCGCTTCCTAAAAAATCACCTGTTTCAGCTTCTAATAATATACCTTCTTTTCCACCAATATGTCTTCCAAAGTTGGGATTTTTGTTAACAAACATAACATAAACATACCTTCCCAAGAAAGCATATTCCGTGTGAATCCCTTCTTTCTTGGTTAGGCAAATCCACTATCCGGGAAAGCCTTCGGAATTCATCCTGATAATTTGATTGGTTTAAATAGTAAATACATCCAAGAGGAAGCACTAGTCTTTTAAGCTGAGCTTGTGAGAGATATGAAAGAAAGTAGGTCTGATCCTTCACCTGAAATTCTAACATGTATCCTTCACTAACAGGTGTCAGTATGTTGGTAATGAAAATAAGTAGAGCATATCTTTACCATATCCTTTGACAGATGAAGAAATGAAAGATCATTGGTTTCATCTATAAGGGGGTGAATAACTTTTGCATAATGTCCAGAAGCAACAAACTCAAAATCCATGTTACTGATGGCATCCATGAACGCACCTACAGATATAAAATAAAAATGAAATTAATGACAAATGATACCCAATAAAAGATGAAAGCAAGTGTCACACCCCCAACCCAGCCGGCGGAAACGTCCGGGGGTGGAGGACTTCATTTGTAGTATCACAACACATGCATCATAGTAATCAAAGTACAAACAACCATTGTATTTAAAAGTATAAGTATTTACATGTGTTCAATCATTGTATATTGAAACCAAAATAGTTATACAAAAGAAGAAGAAATGACTCATAATAGCTCCATCTTTTCAAAAAGCTCGGGGAGTACCTGTTATTATTTCCCTGAGAATACAAGTAATTTGAAAATAGAGTATCAAGAATAAGTTGAGTGAGTACAAAAGTCTTTATGTTTGACAGGGTGTCTTTGTATCTTGATTATGAAAACTATTCCAGAAAATCCCATATTTTTCTGTTGTATATGAAAAGTAGTTTTATTCCCATAAAACCGTTCTATTTTGTAAACCAATGTTCTATATTTGTAAAACTTGTAACTGAGAGTGTGCCTGGCTTCACCAGTTGTTATTGAAAACTATAGTATACCATTGTACTTTGTATTTTGTAAACTGGTACTTTGAAGATGTACTTACGTTTAGTTGTTTATACACTAACGTGTTGTTAATATCTTTTTAATGAGTTATTATAACCATACTAAGACATGAACGCCTGAAACAAACGCCTTGTGAGCGTTTAAACTGTTGATAACAATTGCCACTCATTGGCGTGTATGCCTGACTGTAGCTAGCAGCCTAAGCGCGGGGTTGTCAATCCCGATATAGATCTACACACAACTTGTTTCGATCCCCGGACTGGAGATTCTGGTTATAATGTCAGGACTTTACCTTGGTTGTCTAAAATGAATTAAACAACCTGAATTGAATGTCTCATAAAAAGCATATAAACGTTACATGTATATTAGATATGAAAACCCAATCATTCTGAAATAAATGATTGACAGTATGTTCTTGAATTAGTATTCCGAACATGTATTTGACAAGTGTAAACTCTTGTTTTGTTTTGAATCAAAACCCTTGTTTCATGTAAAACAGTGTATTCTAGTATACTTGAATCATGAATAATTGTTCTATGTATCATAAATTATACCTATTATAATTTATATGTGCTTTATGAATTGGTAAATAACTATTTTTGCATGTAATCCTTTGCTCAACATGTTACAAAGGGTAATTAAACTGACGAAATAACTTTTATATTTATATACATATACAATTTTATATATAAGTAAAATTTAAACGACCTTCGGACAAATAACCGGTACTATAAGTCCACATCCAAACAAGGAAAAGGACCTAGAATGAGTTATTAGTCCTAAGCCTTTTAAATCTTATTTATATTAATATATATATACAAATATGAATATTTGGGAAAAATATAAGTTTATAAAAGAGTTCAATATTTGGAGTATTTTTGATGCTTTAAAATAGTTTTATAGTGATTTGAAATCATTTATTTATAACACAAAGTTCTTGTGTTATACTTGCATTCTCACCCCCCCCCTCCCCCCCTTAAAACAATAGAAATTATGAAAATACGGGGGTATGAACTCACTTGATATATGGAGAATCGGACAGAGTTTTGACAGGAGAGAGGTTACTTCTCGGGAATCTCGGGGCTTCGAGGCTTGCTTAGGGTGAAAAGTGTAAAAAAGGTCGGAACCCTCGCATGCCTTATATAGGCCGAAGCCTCGGATCCGAGGCCATGCGAGGCTGCCGCGTGTCGGACAGGTGGCGAAGGGAGGGAAGCTTCTTCGGACCGGAGGCTCGCTGCTGGCTGGCTCAGATTGGACCAGAGTTCGGTCCAATAGGAAGAGGGCACGTGCGAAGGGGAGCGTACGAGGGGCGTGCGAGGGGTGTCTTATGCGAAGCTGTCCGCTTCTAAGTGGACCTCGGCTGCGGTCCAACCAGGAGGTGCCACGTACGGCTTCGGTCCAATCAGCAGACGCCACGTGGAAGCTCGCATGCGAGGGTGACGTGGCATTACTATTCATGCGAAAATTCCCGATTTTTCCTATTTTTCTTTATTTTTGTGCCAAAAACTTGTAAAATTCATAACTTTTGCATACGAACTCCGTTTTTGACGTTGTTTATATGCACGCGTAGGTAAAATTATACTCTACAACTTTCGTTTAGACTTTGTCGGCTAGTTTTGAATTTATTTTTAATATTATTATTTTTAACAGACCGGGACAGGAAAATCCGTTAAAAATTCATAACTTCTTCATCCGACATCCGTTTTTGTCTGTCTTTTTACCGTTTTACTACTAATGACGAGACCTTAGATTCTCGTTTAGGTTGTGTCGGCTAAAAACCACCCGATCTTTATTTCGAGTTTTTAGCTGTACATTGTTATACTGAAATTTAGAAAAATCATAACTTCCTCATACGAAGTCAGATTTTGGCGTTCTTTTTATGAAAGTTCTCGGTTTAACACAAACTACAACTTTCATTTGTCGCGGATTTTTGATTGGTCATAACTTCTTCGTTATAACTCGGAATTTAGTGTTCTTTATATTTTTGGAAACCTTGTTACAATCTCTATCACCTGTTTCATCCCAATTGAGATTATTTAATAAATTATTTTTGAGGGTCAATTATGTAAATATACACAGTATGCCAAAATTTCTCTTTATTAATTTAAAAAGAAGTACAAATTGACCTACACTATTACATAGGTTTGAAATAATGGTTTGTTACATTATCCCCCGTTAGAGAGAATTTCGTCCCGAAATTTACTTTATAGATAGACTAGGGAAAAAGATGTGGGTATTTCTGTTGCATTTGATTCTCCCGCTCCCAAGTGAATTCAGGTCCCTCTTTGCATTCCAGCGAACCTTCACTATTGGGATGCGGCTTTGTTTGGTTTTCTTAACTTCCATGTCTAGTATCTCTACGGGTTCTTCCACAAAATTGAGGCTCTCGTTTAACTCGATTTCCTCGAGTGGTATCACAAGAGTCTCGTCGGATAGACACTTTTTCAAGTTTGAAACGTGGAAGGTAGGATGTGATGGGTTTAGGCCATAAGAACATCCTATGTGCTCATACAAACCCTAATGCTTTGGATCTAGGTTTCTCTATTGTATATGCAATTCATCCAAGACTTTAAATCCTAGATCTAGTATATGATAATCAATATAACATATAAATTAGGGTTTAGATCATACCTTAATTGTTATGTAGCAATAACAATCTCAAATCCTTCTTGTATTGACTTTAGAAAGCTTAGAGTCACAAATGTCACTCCTCTAATGGTTCACAAACACCAAGAGTAAGAGGATGAAGAAGAGAAGAGAAGGAGGCTACCAAAAACGTGTGGAAACCCTAATCAACAAGTTCACCACGTTTTTGAGTCATAAGGGTCCTTTAAATAGAGAGGCTATTAGGGTTATCAAACAAGGAAACCCTAATTTGGATGCTTAAGCCCTAAGCAACCCATGGACTCCTTCCTTAAAGGCCTAGGACGATTTCTAATGGGTATCCCCATAGAATTCGTCCACCCCTTTAATATGTAGTCCATTAGCTCAATATTCAACTATCATACATTGACAGTTCTAGTCCCTTAAGTTTAATTAATCTCTTTTAGCCAAAAAACTAATTACCAATTAATTATTGACTATATTAATTAAACAATATGATTTTCCTTAATATATTATTCTCATAAATATTAATAAATCATATTTAAATTCCTCTCCATAATTCACTATCAAGTTGCTTTGGTGAAGGTAACCCAAAAGGACCATGCACCATCGGGTCAAGTACCTACCAAAATAGTTATGGACTTAGACACTAATCCAACAGGATGAATGTTACTTAGTTCTTGGGGTAATCGAAGTTTGTAAGCTACAGGGCCAATTCGGGCAAGAATCTCGAATGGTCCTATGTAACTTGGATTCAATTTGTCACGCTTTCCAAAGCGTATCATGCCCTTCCAGCCTGAGACCTTTAACAAAACACGGTCACCGAACTGGAATTCCAAGGGTTTTCTCCTTTTGTCAGCGTAGCTTTTCTGTCTATCTCTGGAAGCTTTAAGTCGCTCCCGAATTTGTACGATCTTCTCGGTAGTTTCCCGAATAATTTATGGACCAGTGAGGGTAATGTCAGGAGTTTGACCTCTAGCTAGCTACGTTTCACCCACTTCAGCCCAGCACAGAGGGGATCTGCACTTGCGGCCATAGAGGGCTTCGAATGGAGCAACTTTTATGCTAGTGTGATAACTGTTGTTATAAGAGAACTCAACAAGGGGTAAATGAATATCCCATGCCTTTCCAAAGTCTATCACGCAAGCTCGTAACATATCCTCTAACGTTTGAATCGTCCTCTCACTTTGTCCATCGATTTGCGGATGGTAAGCTGTACTCATGTCTAGCCTAGTTCCCAGAGAGTTTTGTAAAGACTACCAAAAATGAGAGGTGAATCTACTATCTCAGTCCGAAATAATAGATATTGGCACACCATGCAGTCTAACAATCTCCTTGAGGTATGTTCTTGTTAGCTTCTCCATCTTGTTAGTCTCCTTGATTGGTAAGAAGTGTGTGGATTTGGTTAATCTATCGACGATTACCCAAATAGTATCATAACCACTTGATGTCTTGGGTAACTTGGTTATGAAATCCATTGTAATCCGTTCCCACTTCCATTCAGGGATCTCAGGTTGTTGTAATAAACCTGAAGGTTTCTGGTACTCTACCTTAACTTTGGCGCAAGTAAGGCACTTGCCCACAAAGGTAGCGATTTCGGCCTTCATGTTAGGCCACCAATATAGTTTCTTAAGGTCCAGATACATCTTGTCTGAACCTGGGTGGATGGAGTATCGGGTTTTGTGTGCTTCATTCATAACCACATCTCTGAAACCACCGAACTTTGTTGTCCAGATCCGGTTCATGAAATAATAGACTCCATCATCCCTGACTTCGAAGTTCTTATCCATTCCTCTCAGGGTTTCACCTGCCATGTTTTCG